TATGCAAATATGCGATCAATACTACTATTACAAAAAGTAAAACATGTTGATTAGCTCATGCTAGCCTGTTGTTTACTTAAATAATCCAACTTCTTTCTATGATCATTCTCTCAAATCCATCAGAATTACCTTTAAGGAATTTAAAGACTACATAATAAAAAGATTTAGTAAAAACATGCTTGAATAGTTCAGTTGTAATAGTTTTTTTGAAATCTGATATAAAGTGTATTTTCTTGCTTACATGAATATAGACTTCATTTGTCCTGATGGGTAAAAAGAATAATAAATAATAAAATTCACAGTATATTTTTTAGTTTTATAATGTCACCTCCACTGGCCAGAAAGTTTCCTGAAAAGGCCTCAAAAAGGCCCACGGACCACCAGTTGATAATCACAGCTGTAGATTGTTTTGCGGCTCTTGACACATATTTTAGTAGCAGAAAAGGCTCTKTTGATTGTAAAGGTTGCAGACCCCTGTCCCAACATGAGRACTCTAGCACCACCTGCAGTTTGCTCCGTGTGCTACACCTTTTACCGTTTTTTTTYTTCTCCCAGTTACTAAGCAACGGTTTCCAGACTGGCTTTTATGACTTTAAAGTTTTGTATTTAAGCGTGTGTTTAAAACAAAAAGTTTTCGGTTTGACCTGAGCGTGTGTTTTGTACCCGCCCCCCAGGAAATGAGGTGATCGGGGTGGACAGCGCGGAGGTGAGGGCGAGCGTTCACTGCCTGCACATCATCGACAATCAGCAGACGCTTTTCGAACTGTCGCACAAACTGGAGCCCCGGGCTTAGGGACGCACAAAGTGACTGTGGAAACGCCACTGTACAGAAAAAGTCWCACACACACGGGAGGGATGACACAAGCAGCAATGCTGTCAGATGGACTAAAGGATTGTTTGTAAAGGATTATTTAACTCTGTATACCCTGCAGGACCAAGATCTGTGCGGTGCCATGAAGAATTGCCAAACTGAGTCGTTGAGGTTATTAGTTTGTAGAGAATCCACACGGCTTAGTTCGCTTTGTTTTCAAGTTCAACTTATTTATCAGCCTGTTCTATTTTTGTCTCCTTGAACTTCAGTAAGAACATTTCAAACAGGAAAAAAGGCATTTATAGAAGATTCTGATTTGTTTAAAGTCTTCTGGACTAAAGGTTCGGTATTTTTCTTTGTGTCCAGGTTACATGTTGTATCATGTGAAACCACTCCTCGTGCACTCTTTCTGATGTCTTAGTGTGAACAGACAAACTTGAGTTTTCATTGTACAGACCGGACCAGAACACGTCTCGGTGCCAAACGTTGTGTTGAGAGTTGCCGCTGAGCTCCTGCAGCATTTCAACCTCCTCATTTAAAAACCCACCAGGCTCCACACSGAGATGGTTAGAAACCCTGCCAGCGTAGATGAGTTTATTTTTGTTTTTTTTGTCCGTCGTGTTTTGTGTTGTGCCAAAACAGATCTATCCAAGCCTGTTCATGTAGAGCAGGCTGGTTCTTACTGACTGAAAAGATCATTTCGTTTTGAACTGGGCTCATTTAAACTGTGAGAACCAGAGCAGGCTGCTGATGCTGCGACGCAGGAACAGACTTCATCTGTCTCTTGTTGTTTTCTTTTTAAAGAGCAGATGTGGAAAACATTTATTTGGTGTTCGAATGAGAAAAGTGGCTTTTTAAGAAATATTCACAAGACTGCAGCCTTAGACAATAAAGGCACACTTTTTTTGTCTTGTCCCATGTCTGCTCATTGTTCAAACCACTTTATTGTGACGGTTCTTTTGAATTTCTTTAAAAAGTGTTGCCTTTTTAAGATCAATCTAAAGGTAAAAAGTGAAAAACTGTAGAAACAAAGTTTGTCAACATTTCAAACCAAATCCAGTCAGTGTAGAATAGTGTAGTGGACCCAAAAAAAAAAAAACATTTTAGAGCCACGTTTTGGTTCACAGAGAGGTGAAGYGTTTCGTGGCACCATCGTCTTCTGTCAGGAATCTCAAAGAAAATGTCYTCTTTCTGTAAGCAACACTCTTCTGCACCTGACTGTTCAATCACACTTTGTATTTGTGAAACTTTTAAACATGCCAAATCAGGTGGATTAGAGATTAAGCATTAAAGAAAAGCACTGCAACAATGATGCATTTAACACAAGTTAAAAGCGATAAACAAAGCTACACTGTACACCTTTTTACTTCTGACACTAAATGTGCATTAATGAAGTTGTTTTGTGATGTTTGATTCATCTGCCTGTGGCGGGAGAACCAATCCAAGCCACAACCTTGTTCACAAAAAGGAGCTGAAGCTGTACATGATGTACATACACGCACATCTCTGCTGATCATGTTCAAAAAGATTTCTTATTTATTGAAATATATATTGTTTATTTATCGTGACAGAGCCGTCTTGTTTTTGTGCCATGTTCAGAGGTTTAGTTACGTAGAGGTGCACAGATAGAGGTGTTTTAAAGCTGCGAAGCACTTTTTGTTGTTTTGTAGCCACTAGAGGGCAGCAGAGAGGTAGATCAGTATGAGAAGCCCTCCCTCTGCTGTTAAAAGTTGAATGAACCATAAAAACATGAGGCTGTATTCAGTGTTTTCTCAGCCGCTCTCATAAGAGTGTGAAGTTTTTTTCTTTTTTTTTTATATAAAAACGTTGTACAAAACTTGTTTGCATGATTAGAAAACCATCAATTTTACAAAGCGAAAAGAGGACCGATCAGATGCTTTGTACTATTGTAATATTGTTTATGTGTAAATATATGCCAATGTTTGTTAATTATCTGTTGTTGTATGATAAAAGTCAACTACAAAGCAATATGTCTTCATCTCTTAACTTGTGGCTGAAATCATTTATTTTTTTAAGCTGTGTTTTGCTACTTCTGTCCAAGTTTTACTTAAATAATTATTTTTTATTTTATTTTCCAGGTAAAGGTAGATTTCATTCTGCATTAAAAAGACCAATGATAACTCAAACTTCTAAAATATGTACAGTAGAATAAAGTGGATGTTTTGCATTTTAAATTTGTAAATAAGATTTGATCAAAGTTCRGATCAATGGGCCTCATGCAAGAAGCGTTCGTACGAACAGATTTGTTGTGCGTACGAGTGATTTAGGAAAATTTGTGGCATTCACCAGTTTTTTGGAATTCTAAAATTTTCTTCAGATACAAACAAAATTCACGAGTGGTCCACACCTGTCGTATATTTTACGAGCAGTCGGTCTTCTGTTATCTGGATGGATTTTCTTCATTAATAACTTTATTTTTCATTAGTTTGAAGATATTTCGAGTTGAAAATAAATCACACTC